GGAAGGGGGCGGCGGCGCCGACGTCGGGCGTATGAGATCTTGCAAGGAAGACTCGAGATTAAAGATTAGAGTGTGCTTGCCTGTGTTCGAATTGTGAAATGATTGCAATACTGTTTTAATCATTTGTTGGGGGGGTTTAATTCCACTACAAAGATGTCAGTTTGAATTTGAAAAGAGGAGCGTCTCAAACGGTCATATTCTTAACCTGACGGTCTGGAATTATTCGAAACTTAAAAGAATTGATTGAGTTGATTAGTAATACTGATTTCAAAATAACTTTTAAATTAGGGAGAATTATATTCACATTCCTTAAAATTTGTTATTTAATTATTTAGACCTCCTGACATTTAAAATATTACACTCAAACCCTTAAAATTTGTACACACGTAACACTTAAACCCCTGTTGCAAATATATTCATTAATAAATTATATTTATACTCCCTGAAATTTATAAACATATATTATTTAGATCTTTTAAATTTAAAATGTTATATTTAGACCAAAAATATTTCAATCAAAGATAAAATATTAAATATTTTAAGTTTTATAATTAAAATTCATATTCTATTGTATCATTTATTGAAATAAAATAAAAAATTCAAATTCAATTTTTTTCTTAAACATTCGTAATTCGTACATAATTATATTGTCTATTGGAATTTAATTTGGTCATTTAAAAATACCAAAATATTCCAATTGAAGCTAAAAGATATTATGTTCATTACAATTTGACCTCTTATTTAATTTTTTAGTTTTATTCTAATAGATATTATAATTGTATATTAACTATTCTTTTTTTAAAAAAATTAGATAATTATTTTTAATTTTATTTAAATAAATGACAAAATAGATCATAAATTTTAGTTGTAAAATTTATGTTCTATTATTAATAATGACTTAGACCCTTTATTTGATTTTTTAATTTTATTCTAATAGATAATATAAATGTATATTAATTACAATTTTTTTAAAAAAAGTTAAAATTTTGATTTTTGACTTTATTTCAATAAATGATACAATATAACATAAATTTTAGTTATAAAATTTAAAATATTTAATATTCTGTCTTTGATTGGAGTATTTTTTGCCTAAATATAATTATAATTAAAAATTCTAAGTATTATATACATACAAACTTTAAGATGGTCCAGGTATAATTTATTAACAGATATATTTACAATAGACGTGCATACAAACCTTAAAAGGGTTTATGTGTAATATTTTAAATGTTAGAAGATTTGAGTAATTAAATGACAAACTTTAGATAATCTGGTTTATAATTTTCACTTTAAATTAATTAAAGAGACCAAAATGTGTATCAAATCAACCGCTCATTGAATTTCATTACTGATTCAATGTCATTACTAATCCAACGGTTACAAATAATTTGATTCACACTTTTAGTACATATAATTTTATCCTAAATTAAAATACTGATTTCATCTAAACAAAAATTTCACTTGATTAGTAAGTTACTAGTTGTTGCCTTGTATAATTCACCAAATTTGTAATCTATTTTTATTCTCATCGCCACCGCCACCGCCACNTAGTAAGTTACTAGTTGTTGCCTTGTATAATTCACCAAATTTGTAATCTATTTTTATTCACATTGCCGCCGCCGCCACCACATTCTTACATTACTTATTGATGTGCTAAATTAATATTTTATTAAATTTAAATGTAAAATAATTAGCAAAGTTGATAAAAAAATTTAAATGTGAAGTAATTGTCAATAAATTAGAAGTGGTTTACACAGACCACATGTTCACCAAGTAGTTCAATTTAATGAAATAGAATATTAATTAAGTGTTAGTTTGATGAAACTAAATGCTACATCTTATAACATAAAAATAAATTAATTTAACAGGAATGGAAATATAAAAAATTATCACTCTTATGCTTCGAGTGAAAAAATGAAAAGATAAAACAATAAAACAAGAGATTTTCGGAGAGTCTTGCAATCTTATACACGACAGAAATGAGCTCTAGTTGCCTACTATACGAGAGAAGGAAGATGATGTTATGAAATGGGACAAGTGCATGCGTCGGTCGTTATATGCAAGCAAGACCTACAAAAGAGCTTGCGTTAGCGAGTTGCTAAAAATATACTGCAACGATCAGCTATGCAAGAAAATGGGTCTCAGTCCAACAAGGAACAGATAGTTTCTCTCAGGGTCCATTTGTTTAGCAAAATAATGCTAAAAATTTTTTAAAAAAATTTTACATATGTNCTGCAACGATCAGCTATGCAAGAAAATGGGTCTCAGTCCAACAAGGAACAGATAGTTTCTCTCAGGGTCCATTTGTTTAGCAAAATAAAGCTAAAAAGTGCAAGAAAATTTTTTTAAAAAAATTTTAACATGAAATAGAAAATAATAAAAAAATAATTTTCTTTCATACATAAATTTTCTCACATTTAACTAACTTCTTTTTTTTTTGTAAAAAACACAAAAAAAAGGTAAAAAAGTTATGTCCAATAATCTAACTTTTCAGTTTACCCTTATTTTTCTTAAAATATTCAATTAATTATTAATTTAANTTTTCTTTCATACATAAATTTTCTCACATTTAACTAACTTCTTTTTTTTTTGTAAAAAACACAAAAAAAAAGTAAAAAAATTATGTCCAATAATCTAACTTTTCAGTTTACCCTTATTTTTCTTAAAATATTCAATTAATTATTAATTTAAAAATTTTTTTGTACAAATTAAACTAACCATATAATTTGACATAGAGATCAAAATTTTAGTTAGATGCTTGTTCCTGAATTAGGTTAGAAGCTTATTTTTTTACAATTTGAATAATAAAAAATATTTTTTTTTCTTTAAACCGAGTTTAAANTAACTAACTTCTTTTTTTTTTGTAAAAAACACAAAAAAAAGGTAAAAAAGTTATGTCCAATAATCTAACTTTTCAGTTTACCCTTATTTTTCTTAAAATATTCAATTAATTATTAATTTAAAATTTTTTTGTACAAATTAAACTAACCATATAATTTGACATAGAGATCAAAATTTTAGTTAGATGCTTGTTCCTGAACTAGGTTAGAAGCTTATTTTTTTACAATTTGAATAATAAAAAATATTTTTTTTTCTTTAAACCGAGTTTAAATAATTAAGGATAATTTAGACAATTAAAAAAAATATCTTGTAACTTTTTTTTTTTTCAAACAAAGGAATGAAATTGTTTTAAAAAAAATTCTTATAAATTTTTCATGCTAACCAAATGTATGCACAAAAATATATTTTGTTTCATTTTCTTTTCTTTCTCCTCACTTTCTATCTTTTTCACTTTCCATCACCTTTTTCTTGCTAGCCAAACGAACCTCTGAGTTGTTGGAGCCCTATAGTCCTCTAGACTACTCGGGCCTAAGTCGATCCGAGTGGCCTCCATACAATTTCAAGGGTTAATAAAAACCCAGTACATTCTCTTATAGAATTTGTCGGCTCAAAGGAAAGAGGGACACTATAATAGGCACCACATCCGAAACCGGCCATATCACCAGATGTAGTTTTTAAGTTGAAAAATAGGACAATGGGATCAACCAAGCTGATCTATAGCAATGAATACAAGACCCATTTCACAGCAAGTAATTTACCAAGAAAGACAATAAAAGGAAAATGTATGGAATGACCTCACTCACTAAGACGAGTAAAAATAGCATTGGCAAAGCCATGCTCTGTCCTTAATCTCAGCCCACACTTCAAATCTACCTGTTCTAGCACCTGATGCTTCTGGTACATTCGATAGAATGAATGCAGAAATAAATCCTCAAAAATCATATTCATAATAGCAAAAGTGAATAAACCAAAACAATCTGAAGATTCCCAACACATTTTTTCAATAACTCAACCTAATTGTAGAACCTCAAGCTGCAAACCACCTAAATAGAGAACAGCCACACCACACTACACAACAGGAAAAGAATGATGAGAACAGGTATTTGGAGGACAGCAGGAAGTCGCAAGAGGAATAAACACCTAAATTGGATCCCTGTGCCTATTCTTTGCTTTTCTGGTATAAATAGTAGGGACAGCAGAAGGGGAATCCCTGTAGAACAGCAAAAATACATATATCATCCACATAAATGCATTAGCCATAAACTAAACTGAACTAGAAAAAAATAACAAAATACCAAAAAGCTCACAGCAAACAGCCAATCCAGCCAAACTTTTATGTCCTCTTCTAGGACGGGGAACACCAACTGGTTTTCATAGTAAGAATCAAGATGCCTCAAATCAGGGATGTCATCAAATTACGAAAATAACAATGACGAAGAGCACACCTTAGACTGCAGGAACTTCACCTCNAGTAAGAATCAAGATGCCTCAAATCAGGGATGTCATCAAATTACGAAAATAACAATAACGAAGAGCACACCTTATACTGCAGGAACTTCACCCCTAACATTTTAGTATCTCGCAAGAAAGTGAAAAAACCAGCACCAGCTAAGGAGGATTATAATAGTGTAGCATGTCTACTTTCCAGAAGCAGCATCACAACATTTAACAATCTATAGCAGGATCACAGGTCAGCATCACAACATTTAAAAATCTATAGCAGGATCGCACTAAAAAAAAAAAAACAGGTCAGCATCACAACATTTAAAAATCTATAGCAGGATCACAGGTCTCAAAACTGTATACCAGACTGACTCTCTTTGCAGCCGAATTCACAAAAAAGATTAGTGTGCCAAATTAACCCGAATTTGCTGGNAAATCTATAGCAGGATCGCACTAAAAAAAAAAAAACAGGTCAGCATCACAACATTTAAAAATCTATAGCAGGATCACAGGTCTCAAAACTGTATACCAGACTGACTCTCTTTGCGGCCGAATTCACAAAAAAGATTAGTGTGCCAAAATAACCCGAATTTGCTAGNTCTATAGCAGGATCACAGGTCTCAAAACTGTATACCAGACTGACTCTCTTTGCAGCCGAATTCACAAAAAAGATTAGTGTGCCAAATTAACCCGAATTTGCTAGAAGCAACTGTGAAAGCATGTCTGTACATCAGGAGTAAGGCAACAATCCAAATTAATGTGAACACCAAAAACAACCAAGCGGGGCTCCCAAAAATGCCATACACAAAGCTCAATGCTGGTGATCAATGAAAATGACCAAAACAAGCAAACCTCAGACCAAGAATGTAATCAAATCACCAAAAAAACAATGAAGAAGAGGACATCATACCAGCAGGAACTTCACTTGCAAGAGAACTAGTATCTCACAAGAAAGATAAAACAAAAGAAACTAAGGAAAATAATTTTTTTTGCCGGATTCAGTTCATTCTGAAAGAGGGAGACAAGAAGAAAGTGAAAAAACAACAAGTCTACTCATGATTAGAAGCACCNCACAAGAAAGATAAAACAAAAGAAACTAAGGAAAATAATTTTTTTTGCCGGATTCAATTCATTCTGAAAGAGGGAGACAAGAAGAAAGTGAAAAAACAACAAGTCTACTCATGATTAGAAGCATCTCCAGTCCTCCAAACATCCCAGCATCAACAATACGATCCAACCTAAGAAAACCAACAAGATGCCAGCTGAACAATGAATATCTGAGAGAATGCCACTCTTCTTGTACACTAAATAAAGTTAATTACCAAAAAAAAACACCACCCTAGCAGGAACTTCACTTGCTAAAGTATTCAGTATCTCACAAGAAAAAAAAAATTGTTGGAGGACTCAATTGAGTCTTGATTAGAAGCATCTTCAGTCCTCCAAAAATCCCAGCGTCAAACAGAACGGAACCAACCTTAGAAAACCAACAAGATGCCACCTGAATCATGAGTATCTGAGAGAATAGGCCACTTCTCGTGTTAAAGTTATCAAACGGATATCATATTCTTAATGGAAAAGACAAACAAAATCCTGACTCGACGTTGCAAAAGATATGCACACGTCATCCAAGTGAAGTGTGCTNGAGAATAGGCCACTTCTCGTGTTAAAGTTATCAAACGGATATCATATTCTTAATGGCAAAGACAAAAAAAATCCTGACTCGACGTTGCAAAAGATATGCACACGTCATCCAAGTGAAGTGTGCTTTTTTTTTTTTTTACCACATAAGCATATAACTGAAATAGTTGTGGGTACCCCGGTGTAATCTTGCATTTATTCAACCGTACTATAAGCATATCCCCTACAAAACAGCACAAAATGTGGAAATAAGAAATGGAAAACAAAAGCTAAAAAAGGAAGGGCAGCAAAACATCAAAACATACCACATGGAATCTATAGCAGCTGCAATAGAAACATAGTTTTTCCCCAAAGGAAATGGAACACATACAACATTATTTTACACAATAATTGAATGTTCTTACTTCAGATTCACAACAAAATTAAGTAACCATATCAAAATGGAAACATCCTGACACATTCTTGTAAAATGATATCACACCTGACTCAAGGGTATGAGAGATATTGACACTTTCGATACACCAACATCAATAGAGAACTACTCAAAAAAAATCATATACATAACAGCAAAATCAAACCCATCACCTGATACATTCCTATGAAATCACTAAATGTCATGACACCATAGGTACACTAGATAAATCAATGTTGACATAAATTTCTAAAAAAACCATAATAGCAAGAGAAAGCCAGCAAACCAAGCACGGGAACACAATCCAATACCAGCATCATGCCAGAGAAAAAGGAAGTAAGAAGTAGGAAAAAATATTGTCATACAAAAGGAACCACTTTTGCTCATAAGAAGTTGTGTAAGTGATACTTCGGTAGGAGGTGATGGAGGTTGGAAACCAAAGGACCTAAAGACAACCAACAAGATAGTCTAGCGCAATTAAAAAAAGAGGAAGAACAAGACATAAAGACAGAACTGAAGTACATAACTATATCTGGCAGGGGTGCAACAATAGTCTTGCATTTGTCCTGCTTTGCAATTACAATAACGAGATCCACTAGAAAATAATTCACCACAAAAATCAAGAACAGGATCAGCTAGCAAAATTGACAGGAGAAGTCTGGTTAGCAAAACAGGGGAAGACAGAAAAAGTGGTCATACTTGAAGGTTGAATCTACATCAGCTACTCCAATTCCAAAAGCATACCTTGCCATACAGAAAAGGATAGACACAACAACAGTCCACATGATCTTTACTGTAGACTTCAAGCAACAAGACAAAATCCCCATTAACCGAAAAGCAAAGATAAATATATTCAATTTTACCAAAATTAGCCATAAATAAATAGAAAGACCTGACAGATTCCTCTCCAATGGATCACACTTGAATCATAGGAAAAAAGAACATCATCTGACACTTCCTGTACACCAAATAGCAACGGTGGACAAAAGAATCATAAAAGAATATTCATAGTAGTAAAGCAAACATTGACTCCATGATCCAAACACATCTTCCCATAACATGATCCAGTTGTAATGCACTACAAACAGAAAAAAGAAAGAAGCCACAACGATACACAAAGAATAAGGAATAAAAATACACAGTTACACACAAAAAAAAAAAAAACCTAGTCAGAAAGGGCAAACCTCCTTTTTTTTACCATTTATATGCTGTCGAAGGGAAAGGGGCATCTCACGGGAGGACATTAGGGAGTTGAAAGAGGGATCCACTGTTCTAAAGTAACAACATGCATTGTATTATATGTATTCAACCTTAAAGTAACATCCACAGAAAAATCAAGAATTGGGAAGCGACAAGCTAACAAATTAGCATACAGGAAAATGCCAGTTCAATCGATAGTCACCGCTCCAAAAGCATTCTCTTCCCCAGCATTCCGACAATAGCAAAGGCAATCGAACCCACACCGGTTCATATAATCTCTACAATAGAATTCAAGCTACAAAGCTGAACAGAATCCCTGTGATAGAAACAGAAAGACTTTGACATTTTCAATCTAACTACCACAACTAGCCATGCCTAAATGGAAACCACATTTTGCCGCAATAAGATAACACCTGAACCACAAGTATAAAAAAATGTGCAATAGGTTAAATAGAGTCATTAATTAATACCAAAAATGGTTTAAGCAATCACCGACTCCCAAGATCCAAAGGATTAGCTCAATCCGATTGCAGTGCTCTGCAGAAAATCAGCATGGAGAACAGCCACAAAATCACCATGGGAAAGAAAAGGAAATATAAACAACCTTGCCAGCGAAACTCTATTTCTCTGTCTTCCGAACAAAAACAAGAAAGCCAAAAATATACCGTACACAGCTGGACCTACCACACGTGCACCAACATTCCCTCGCATTTGTTTAGACTCACAACTACTAGATCACTTGTAGTCAAACACACAACACAAAAATTAAGAACTGGCGAAAGATTGCCAATAGAACAATATATAGAAAAAGACAGGGTCTGGTAAAAGAGAAAGGCCAAGGCCAGAAAAGTAGAAGCGTGCACAAGTTGCCATTTATGTATTTGTTGTTTTATCTTTGGTGTTAACCAGACATGGTCCATCAATTCTGCAAGCAACGAACATAAGGTGTTTATTCATGACACACGACAAGAGCAACTACCCAACCACCAAACCAAACCAAACCAAACAAAACCAGCAATATTTTCTTAGGGAAATGGACACAGCCTCAGACATAACCAAACTGGAGAATTTGCACACCCTTCGAAGAACTATCCATGTACTCGCGTTTTGGACTGCAGACAAGAAAGAAATTAATACCAAGGGGAAGAGTTGGCCAGACACCAGTATTATAACTGAACTAAGTGAAAAATAATTAGTCATACTAATTGTAATAGAAAAAACAAAACCACAAAGAGGAGGAGAATAAATAAAGCACCCGCAGCAGAATCCGTTAAGGATCACTATCTATGTACTTGCCCTTTATCTTTCCTTTCCCCTAGCCATGGTCCACCAATTCTGCAAGGAACAGACTTAAGTACTATAAATTCTGCAAGGAACAAACATAAGGTGTTATTCTTGATGCACAACAAGAACTACTACCAAACAACAACAACAAAAACCAAACCAGAGCAATCTCTTACCATAGATGGACAAGCCGCGGGCATAACCAAACCACAGAATTCGCAAACCTTCCCGTACTAGGGGATTTGGACTGCACACAACAAGAAACTAACACCCAGAAGAACAACGGGAAGAAAATATAGACAGAAGAAAGCAACGGACCATATATAAGGAAAGAACAACAGAATCCCATTGATTGGTTATGAATCACTGTAGGTGGACTCCCCTATCATTTATCTAAAATCAAATAATGCACATGAACTGGCTAATCACCATAGAATTACCCAGAATGAAGACGCCAAAATTGATCACCTGGAATCATGAACCATAACCCAAAAATTAGTCAAAAACTCCAAAAAAAATCCCGACCATCTGCCTTGAATAGTAATACAATGCAGGCTTCAACAGATCATAAGAAGAAAATAAGTGGAGTCTAAATAAATAAAATCCAAAGATCAATCAACCTAGCAAGCGATTCTGTAACGCATAATATCATGTATGTTACCGTATCGTACAAATCCTTGCCCTACTTTACAACATTCATCATCGAACGCTTACTTCCTATCATAAAACCAACCATGATTCAAATTTGAAATCACCCAATCCAACTCAAAATAACTGAGCAAACTAAGAAGCGACAGCAATGTATCCTACAAGAAGCCAAGATATTCGAAAAAAACTTCACGGCCATATTGAACGATTGCAAAATAAATCCAAAAGCAACATCAAAATACCGAAAAGGCAATCACAACGCCAACGGAGCCACCGAACGCCATCAGACCCTAGACATCAAAAGATTCTACAAAGACCCCTTAAAAGTAACATTCAAATAGAGAAAATACTTCAAAAGACTCTACAGAGAACCGTTAAAAGCAACATCAAAATACCGAAAAGGCAATCACAACGCCAACGGCGCCACCGAACGCCAACGGAGCCTAGACTTCAAAAGATTCCACGGAGTTTCTCTTAAAAGTAACATAAAGATAGGGAAAAGGCAATCGCAACGCCGACGAACTCCCACACAAAGACTTGCAAAAGCCTGAACGGGACGAGAACGCGAATTTTAGTAGATGGACGCCATTTATGGGTCGAGTTACCGCATAACATGCGGTTTAATGAAACGGCGGCGTTTCATTGTAGTTTTTGATTTTTTTTTTTACACCGACCCTTATCAAAACGATGTCGTTTTGGTCCTTTAAATCAGTGCATCAGACCCCTCCCTTTTCTTTCTGCTACCTTCGCTATCGTCAAACGACTAATTCGGCTCCTCCTACCTTCGGCTCCTCCTACCTTCACCACCGCCATAACTCTTCTCACTTTGGCTTCTCCTACCTTCACCACCCTCTCCAGGTTTGTGCTGCTATGATTTGTTGTGATTCGATTTTCATGAATTTTGGGTGCCTCTTTGTTTCCATGAATTTTGGCTGCATTCCCCCCATTAGTTTTATTTTCCCTTACCAATACATTTATATCATGCGTTTATATCTATGTAATTTACTTAGTTTTGATAATTTCTATGGTCTTAATGTGGAATTTGAATTGTTTTTGTTTTGAATGTTTAGAGTTTTGTTTATGGAATTTTTTCTTCTTCGATTTTGTGTATATTTGGGTTGAATTTGAATATGGGTACTGGGTTTTGGTCTATAGTTTCGATTGAGGTTATATTCTGAGCAAATCAATTGGTCTGTTCGAATGTTTTACCAATTTAGTGTTTTGATTTTTATGTTGTCCCAGTCTTTATATTTTTGGGTTGCTTGGCAAATAATAGAAATTATAGATCGTTTGTGTAGTTTATGTTTTTTTTTTTTTGAATTTTTTGACACGAAATACTTGTGGTACCTGTAGTTCAATTCAGTGTGGATGTCCTTTTGTTTGTGTTATCTGGGTAGAAATGCCAAAATTTTGAAGTTTGATGTCTTGGGCATTGTTTGTACGGCTTTGTATAGGTATTTCTTGTTATTAAATGCAAGAAATTGTTTGGTTGTTGCTTTCAAGAGCATAATAATAACCCAACATTATTAGGAGTACCATTGTTGTGTCACAGTTTACATGCTAATGAACTTGGTATGATCTGAATTTGGTGTTGATGTTGGCACCATGTTGAAAAAATGATTGATGATAACGTTGGACCGACTTAGTATGTTAGTTTTGGTAAGTTTGGAGTGGGTTTAAGTATTTGTTATTTGTTTTAGTTCCCTTTATTTTTTTTTACTTATAAACTGTTTGATTTATGTTCTTATATCAAAATTAAAACTCAAGTACTCAATGGTATCTTAGTTTGTTACCAGTTGAACATGGTCTCTTAGTGATACTTCATTGTTATGCATAATGTGAATATGATTCTGGCGTTTATGACTGTGATAGGTTCTAGAGTTGGCTGGAAATGCAGCAAGAAACAACAAGAAAAACAGGATCATCCCACGACATGTTCTGTTGGCTTTGAGGAATGATGAAGAGCTTGGGAAGCTTCTTGCTGGTGTGACAATAGCTCATGGAGGTGTGCTTCCAAACATCAACCCCTTCTTCTCCCCAAGAAACAGGAAAAGGATGGAAAGGAGCCCACTAAATCTCCATCTAAGGCCACCAAATACCCTAAGAAGGCTTAATCTTTTTAGTGGCTTACATTTAGAGTAGCTTGTAACTTCAGTTTATGTTGTTTTAATTGTAGAAAAGCTGTATGGTGCTCATGAACTAGGATGTTATTAACTTTAGATTTCCCTGCCTTCGTTATAACATCTTCTGTTTGAAGTGAATGAATTGGAATTGTTTGTACTTGAATGTCATCTGTTGGTTGTTCAATTGCGCTTGTATTATTGAAATTTCAAATTTAGATGGTACTTGGGATGTTGTGGTTGAGTGCTTTGATTGGAAAAAAAATTGTTACAGGTTCCCTCTAGAGTATGTCGGATCATTCAACCTAACTGGGATCTTAGACTATGCTCTCTTGTTTTGATTAAGAGTGTGTTGGCTTAGATGGTATTATTGGATCACTGGCGCTCTTACTGTTCATGATAATTCATGAATCCTATAAAGAGGATAGGCATTACAAAGTTCTTCAATTCGGAAACTTTGGTCACAAACATAAGCATCAACACGTTGAACACATTGAACAAACGTAAGTATTAACACATTGAACTACATTACAAAATTCTGAAAATAATGAATTACAAGAATAAAAAAGAACAAAATGTTCTAAAAGTATGAAAAAATGGCTTTAATCCTTCAAGATGGACTAAACAGCACCAGTCCACAAAACCAAATGAACCCAACATCCAAAACCATACAAATCAGTTGCTCATATTGGTGGGAATAACGTTCATATTCTTGGCTGCTCAATTTAGTCTTATTGTCTGCCAACCATTTTGGATATCGTTCTCCAACTTCTTTCATAGGCTCGTGAAGAATTTCTTTAGACAGAAGCTGTTGCATCATGGTCTCCACAATAGACTCCATGTCCTGAAGAGAAAGAAAATATCAAACAAGTCCAAAATTGGCTGGAATTTTGTTGCTGGTAACCACCAGACTAATGGCAACCGAGAGAATTAAATTATATACTTGTGGAATCCATATCAATCAATTTGTTGAATCCATAAACATGGTGTGGCCACACTAACACATCAAGCATATTCCCAGGATTATGACTCCTACTACAATCAGTATCATATATCAATGCAAAACTATTAAAAAACTATCATACATACTCCCAGCATAAATCAGTATCATATATCAATGCAAAACTATTAAATTACCAATCCTATGAGAGTCTTAACTACATTATTCACTAACAATTGAAGCATTACTTAGCTAATTATTATTAATCAATATTGCAAAAAGCTTGGAGTGAAAATTTTTTGTACTGTACTCAAAGAAACCCAAAATCACCAACTACAATTAGTATCAGAATTTAACAAATCTCAGAGAAACAAAGGCAACTGGGAGCACCAAAAAGTACTCTGTAACATTGCAGGTTTAATTCATTGAATGGAAGTGACAAAACCAGCTTCGCAATTGAAGGTAATAGCTTACCCACCAATTTCACTTTAATATCCAAACAAGCCCTTCTAATTCCAAAACCATACAATGAAAATTTAGCACAAGACAAAGAAGCAGAATTACCTCCACCGGTAATATTCAGAGCCATAACCCGAGAATTGGAATCACACGATACTCCAAAACACGAACAATGATCAGAATTACTTGAACTCCAGCTCAATAACACTCCATAAGGGTCTGAAACTGAGGTCTTGAACTCCAAAAGAGCTGATTTGTCTGCATCGAAGCTCGAAAACAACGAAGCTTTGCGCTAGAACGAAGACCCAGATGAAATAGCAGCACAAAACTTGGTACTCCTCAGCGATCAGGAGCTTTTTTGTCGCCGAAGAGAGAGAGAGAGGAGCGCCTGAGTCTGAAGAAGCCGAAGGTAGGAGAAGGGTTCATATCTGTTTTTTAGCTGGACCAAAACGATGAATAAAAAAAAATGGCAAAACGAAGTGGAACGGCGCCGTTTCATTAAACCGTATAATATGCGATTAGCGAGGATCTGCACCCCCGATTTATAGACAAGTTCGGTATAGACAAAGTCGGTTAAAAAGAATAAATAAAATAAAATAACTGTTTTAGATCAGACGATCACAAAGTATCCTGATTCCGCGTTTTCTAAGGCGGTTGGAACGTCGAGAAACGCATTCGTGTTCTAATTTATTATTCCAATGAAAAATTATTTTTGGAAAAAATAAAAAGCTCGGGTTGTTGACATTAGATTGACAGAGCCACAAGACATCACCCGCGGTGTGCCAGTCAATAGAGGCGGGTAGTAGGCTCTTTGTTATTTGGACCTGGTGGTGGGCTTTATTTACTTTGTAAACCAGAAAAAACGGGGCTTATAAAATCCAAACATATGAGATGTCCCGTGACCAGAGGCCCATTAACTTTAAAGATTGGGCTCACCTTCTTGCAGAAATAATAACTTTCCACTTGCCTGGCCCACTGGAAATCCAACTAAGTCCTAATTTGCTTCATTTGGGCCATGTCTCTTGCACGGTTTATGCATGCAGTACAATAAAGCTTAGAAGTCCATGCACCACAACTCCATCCATTCTTTTCCTGTTGCACAATGGAGATCATAACATGGTTGAATTGCACAACTGTGACAAATTATTTTTAATCTAAGAGCACGAAATTCAACCAGAAATCTCCTCTTAATTTTTAAAATTACATTGTTCTTATTTCTATTTTTTTTTTCTTAAAGTAAGTCTCATTTCTAATTCATTAACCTGTTATAGATAACCCTTAAGTCAACCATTATTATTATTCTCATTATGCAGATCCTACTCGTATGTCATATATCTCATTTCATTATCCTCCCCTCTCTCTCGTCGATCAACTCCCATGTATCCCCCTATGTCCTTGTTGCCAGTAAAATAAAAAAGATACCAATTGAAAGAAAATAACATAACTTGAAGGTACACTCGTAATGTTAGAAAGAAAAAAAAAAGGAACCTCTTTGATTCTGGGGACATTGATTTGAAGCTAGAGTACAGTCCATAGGCGTTTTTCTTCTCTACTACGACAAATCAATTGATTTAATGTAGGCATTTTTCTTCTTTTGTCCTTTCTCCGATTTTTCCCTTTCACTAGTAGTTACTCCCAATCCGAAGCACCCCTATTTTCATTTATAGAGAAATTCAATTGTCAAAATCAATAAAAAGACTATCATGGACCAAAATCCAAATGGATCAATCTTGTTGGGAGGTACTGCCCAAGGAAAAGAAAAGATGACTTCCGGATTAAAAAAAAAAAAAAACAACTTACTAAACCAACTAAAGTTTCAATATTATAACTTTAATCATCCAGCAGTACCAATATGTCCACCTTTTTTTGTCTCTAATTATGGTAGGTTAACTTTCATTTTTATACTTACCATTTTTCCTCCCAATTTCTAACCTAATTTATGTTAGATTTATTTGTATTGGACTTTCATTAATTGATAATTAATTTTGAATTTGAGAAAAATAAGATGTTCAATGAGATGAGTCTACGTGTTAGACACCAAAAAGGTGTTATCATCCAGCGTTACATAGTCATATTAGCCAACAACTCTGTCATTTCACCATCTTCTTCTTCTCCTACAAAGCAATTATAAAAAGAAAGCTCAATCTTTAAAAAACCTTACACGATGTGATAGCTAGTAAAATGCTCCATGGTTTGGACAAGCAAGGCGGCATGGCATGATGACATCAAAGAAAAATTAAAGAATTGATAGATGATTAAAATTAAAGCTTCATAATGTGAGAGTGAGTGTTAAAAATATATAGAATCAATGTCGTGGTGCAGCGGCAGAACGTCATGTACTGGCTGGCCATAGCCCCAGTGTACTAGTAATGGTGTTAAACTGACTTAATAGATTACTATTTTTAACACTGTAGATTAATGTTGATGGGGTCTTGTAAGTTATAATAATGAATTGTTAATTACGGTATCAAAGAGACTTTTTCAAAGAAGAATCTTGCTTAGGCACAAACTCACGCCGGCTGGACCACTCTAGTCTATGCAGTAAGCCTACTACTATTATTATTATTACAATTTTATTCAACGGTCATAGTGTCCAGATTTATTTATGCGCATATCGACTAATCTTTTTCTCTAATCTGGTCAAAAACACGTCATACAAATCGAGACTAAAGTATTTATGAGAGATTATCTCTCATGATCTAACCTTAAAGAGTTATCAAAATTTGAATTCAGACCATTTGAATTTATAGTTCATCCTTACCACTAACATTATTTGAGCAATCTTAAGTAAAAATATCAATGGATCATATTGTATCACGTCAACATTTGAATTTGCATGGTCGTTTCTACCGCTAACATTATTTGAGCAATCTTAAATAAAAATATCAATGGAGCATATCGTTTCATTTCATGCTTTTAACTACTGCATAGGGTGGCGTGTTTGTAAGTCATTAGGTAGTATTATGTTATAGTTACTCAATGAATTCTTGACCTTTTTATAGTTATGTATAGTAAAATTTATGTGGACCTGTGCTTATATTAAGTTTGACATATTTATCTATATAATAAAGTAACTTATAATTCAAATTTTAAAAATAAACAAAATAACTTTTACTATTCGGAGTTGAGATCACTTTAAATTTTATTTTAAAGTTAATCTAATGACTAATATTACAACTCCAAATTTAATAGGAAAAAATAGGCCCTTAAGAGTGTATTTGGAATAATTTTTTAAAAATATTTTTAGAAATTATTTTTCATAAGTACTTTAAAAAAAAAAAAATTGTTTTGAGCCGCTCTACCACCACCTCTACCATCACCACCACCACTGTATCCGCCACCATCACCACTACAACCGCCACCCCACACCACTGCTATCGCCGTCGCCACCACCACCCCCAACCACCGCCATTGCCATCGTTGTCGCCGCCACCACCACCTCCACCGTCACCATCGCTATCGCCATTACCACTATCGTCGTCGCCACTACTCCCACCGCTGCCGTTGCCGCCACCACTGCCACCACCACCACCAGCATCGCTGTCACTACCACCACCACCGCTGCCACCACAACTATTACTGTCTTCTACCATCACCCCTACCGTCCATCATCTCTCACCCCCACTACAAATCGATGTTTGAATATAAATATATTTATTATTTATTATTTTTAATTACTTTGTACCTTCAGACACAGACAATAACTAGTATACCTATAAACCAGATCGTTCAGTTAAAACTAAACTCATGGATGTTAATTTCGGATCAATTTCATGTCAAGTTAATTGATCCGAGTTGAGAGTTGCTAACAGTTAATAATGATATCAAAATGAGACTACATTGGAACAACAGAAAAGCACCGCTCCCCATTTGGCATGCGCCAATATTTAAGTGGGCCATACACCTGTCTAGAAGGATTCCCTCTCTAGAAACCCTCTGAACCGGACAAAGTTTGAAGCATCTGATTGCCAAACATTAATCTTATCCCTAAAAAATGTGCTATATATAAGCACCTTGCGGTGTACATCTTTGTAAATCACATTGAAACCTGTTTCCTGTAAATCCTGTTGAGCTTCCATTAAAGCAGGAAACAATGATAATGGAAGTTCAAATTATCTCAAAAGAGAGCATCAAACCATCTTCCCCTACACCAAATCACCTCCGGACCTTCAAGCTTTCTCTCTTGGATCAGCTCATTCCTGCTCCTTATGCTCCTATTGTCCTCTTCTATCCCAATTATGATGGTGCCAACCATCTTGAGGTATCCCAAAGACTTGCAGTGCTAAAGCAATCATTATCAGAAACTTTAACTCGCTTTTACCCACTCGCCGGAACGATCAAGGACGACCTTTCCATTGATTGTTGTGACGAAGGAGCTTATTACGCCACCGCGCAGGTCAATTGTGATCTCTCCCATTTTCTCAACAAACCAGAACTTCAGTTGATCCACAAATTCCTTCCCTGTGAAGCCAATTTCCAGGGGTCAACTGCAGGAACTCGTGTGACTAATATTCAAGTAAACGTGTTTGGATGTGGTGGAATCACCATTGGTATATGCATTTCCCACAAAATAGTTGATGGAGATGGACTTAGCACTTTCCTGAAAGGATGGGCTGGCACAGCTTGTGGGTCTGAAGTTGTATATCCCCATATTATGGCAACTTCTCTCTTCCCCACAAATGATTTATGGCTGAGAGACTCATCAATTGTTATGTGGGGTTCTTTGTTCAAAATGGGCAAGTGTATTACTAGGAGATTTGTATTTGATGCCTCAGCAGTAGCCACCCTCAAGGCCAAAGCAACAAGCTCAAGTGTGCCAAACCCCACTCGTGTCGAGGCGGTCTCAGCGTTCATATGGAAATACGTCATGGCTGCCGCAAAAGAAAAATCTGGTACCAAAAGACCTTCTTTGCTGACTCACTTGGTGAACTTGCGAAAAAGAATGGCGCCAACTTTGTTTGAAAACTCACTTGGCAGCCTCATTTGGATAGCAAGCTCAAAATGCATGGCTAAATGTGACGTGGGATTGCAGGCCTTGGTGGATCAGGTAAGGCAAGGTATATCAAAAATCAACGGTGACTTTGTTAAAAAACTGCGAAGCAACGAAGGGTCTACAGTTATGAGCAAATCTCTCAAAGATATGGGAGATTTTGGCTCGAAAGAAGGAGTGGATTTCTTTGGATTTACCAGTTGGTGTAACTTCGGTTTCTATGAAGCAGATTTTGGGTGGGGAAAGCCTATATGGGTCAGTTGTACTGGTTCAGGTGGTTTAGGTAGTGCAGTGTACATGAATCTGATAGTTATGCTGGAAACAGTATCTGGGAATGGAATAGAAGCATGGGTGACCTTAGATGAACAAGAAATGGAGATATTAGGAAGTAATCAAGAGCTTCTGGGATTGGCTTCATTGGATCCAAGCCCTCTACAGCTTCTTGGTAACTCTGCTATTTGAATCACACCTAAGCCACTGAAAGTTTTGCTCATGAGGACTACTGCTTTCTATCTAACAAGCACACATGAACCACAAAAAATGTATCTGTAACTTTGCATATTTAGTTCCCATGTTCAAATGAATAAATGGGATCAAACTTGTCCGCGGAACGAAGCCTTTCTATGGTATCACATGTAAAAATTATATTATGTGCACGGAATAATTCCTGCAATAGTTTGAGACAACGATCTCTAAACTGGCGAACCTGAAACAACAGGGTCAGAAAAAAAGGGTCAGGTAAGCACCTAGTTTATCACCTCTAAAGTTTAAGTCAGTCTAAGGTCGAAGGGTTTAGTTCAATGGACAATTTTTTTCTGGTTCAAGTTTGCATATCTTTGTCCATTTTTCTGAAGAGTATTTATACCTCAATTAACAATAATTGCCAAAGATCTCCAATCCCATCTGGACATCTTACATTTGACACACCATTCCTCATGCAATAAGTGTTTTCTACTCACGTCTTCTCCTATTAAATGCTAGGAAGATGGGATATATGCTCGGCCAAATGCCGAGCATTTATGCCCCTCCCCCGAGTACACAAATCCTCCAGATCGGTATCAGACATCAACTGAGCATTGAATACTCGGGGGAACAGTTCCTCGGAGGGAGTCGATCGCATCATTTCGACGCATTAACCATTAATGCTTAGTCATCATGACAGTAGGCCTAGACTCCCAAAAGGTAGGTACTTGCAAGCGCGTATTTATTTGTCTTGTCACTATCACTCATTCCGCCATAAATGAGGAGTCACATCGCATTAAATACAATGTCAACTATCATACTCGGCTGCTCCGTGTCACCATATCTCGGCTTACCTCCTCGGCGCCTTTTGGACATCCTAACGGCTTCATTATTCCACGTGTCAACCTGGGGGCTATAGAGCCACCTAGAGTCCCGCCAACTGCCCCCCAGTCGCCATCCTTTTCGCAGTGTAAGACAAGTGGCGTAAAGAGATTAAGGGCTCAATCATCACGCCTTGTTAATAGCGACAGTTACTTGCACGTCTGATGCCGTCCTTTTCAAATAACCTAATGATGATCCAACTTTTCAATTCCCGCTCCTTGTAAGGCAGTATAAATAGAAAATTTTCATGCCTTCTCAGAACTTTCGCATCCTCAGCCTCTCTTCAGCAATCAGACCCCGAGTGCTCCTTTGTTCTCTTTCGAGCTTCCTTCGTCCTCCAAGCTCTCTTCTTGAAGACCACCTTCCTGTAAGTACTTCCACTTGAGCTTTTTCTCTCTTAATTTTCTCTACATTTTGTCCTTTAAGCGCCCACCAATGGCCAGAACTAGGGGGGAGACATCTGTTAGGGTTAGGACTACCCATAAGATTAGGAGAGCCCAAGTGACTGATGAGAATATCCAAGCTTTTAAGGTTAGGTATCACATTCATGAGCCTATTTTTGCCTTCCCCTTTAACCCCACTCACCATAGGAGGGATATGGGAAGTGTGGACATGATGCCTTTCTGGACGAAGGCCATCATGGAAAGAGGGTTGACCTTCCCTCTCTATCCCCTGTTGCTGGGAGTGTGGATGCAACTGAAGCTCTTTTTCCTTCAATGTGGGGTTAACTTCTTTAGGATTGTGATGGGTGTAGTCGCCTTAAACGCTCGGTTGGAGACCCACTTAGGAGTAGATGAAATTTTATTCTGCTACGACCTGAGGTAAGTCGCCGGGGGGAGATACTACCTCTAGGCTCGAAACATCTCAATGTATTTGGTAACCCACATGCCCGACTGGACAAAAGGTATATAGACGATCTGATCATGCTCGGCGACAGTTAGGAGAAAGGACCAGGGCCCGAGTATGATGGATTGTACTGTCCCAAAGTGCCGAGGGATGAAGGTGTGTCTTCTTCCTGACTTGTATTAATTTTGCTATTTTTGGACCCAAGGGATGTACTGATTTCTCTATCTTTGCTTTTGTAGAAGGATACCGTCGGGATGCTGCTCAACCCTTGAGGTCCCAAGTCCGATTTGTCAACCTCCTAAGGTTCTGGATGTCAGAGGATCAACAACTATACAGAAAGTCGGCTAGTTCTCCTCGACCCAATTGAGCGAGAGCGGCCCACACTCTACTCGGCTACACATCGACCTACAGTCGATTTTTTCAGATCTTACCTCCCTTCAACCCTTCTCTTTGGGAAGACCATTCCTTGTCGGTAGAGGAAGAATCCGAGGGAGATTCTGAAGAAGAGTCTGATCATCCTGCTCCCGAGCCTCTTGGGCCTGAAGTATTTAATCCACCACCAGTCATCACTACTACAATGGAGACCGTCGCCGCGGCAAGAAGAGTCAGGCTCACTGGGCTAGTCAAGCCTTCCAACATTGCCCTCATCATTCCTCCGCCTTGTTCTCCTCGACGGTAATCACCCCTGTCGCCGCCACGTCCCCAACCATCCAGGGACCCGGCTGTGCCGACCAGGCAAAGGCCTCAATCTCAACAAGTCTTTGCTCCGGGGGACAGGTCGAAGGACCGACGAGCTCGGGATGTCGAGCAATCTGAGGAGTGCCGTGTGAAGCGGCGGCATGACGCCCCGGGCCCGTTCGTCTCTGGAGAATGGGTCCCTCGAGCCGAGACCAGGAGCGACCGCCCCATCCTAAAAGCTGACTCCATCCTCCAGTCCCTCGAAATGCCCTTTGTCGTCGCAGGGATGNGTCTCTGGAGAATGGGTCCCTCGAGCCGAGACCAGGAGCGGCCGCCCCATCCTAAAAGCTGACTCCATCCTCCAGTCCCTCGAAATGCCCTTTGTCGTCGCGGGGACGTTTCAATTTGATGTCGATATGGTCGTATACAAAGGCTATTCAGACAATCGGCTTCTGATGAGCACCATCCAAAATAACTTGGTGGTAAGTCTAACGCTTTTTCGAGTATTCCTTGCACCCTTTTGGTCGTTCACTAACAGTCCCCCTTTTTCAGGCTAGCCAGTAGGTGGGGGTCATAATTGAGCATTTTTGGGAATACAAACAAGAGGCAAAAAACGTCGAGCGAGCCCTAGTTGCCAAGGACGACCATACCCTCAAGGTCGAGAGGACCCTCGGCGACCAGATCAAACACATCGTCGAGCTCATCCGCCATCGAGATGTCGTTCATGCCAAGCTGGAAAAGACTAAGGCGGGTGAAACTGCGATGATAAGTAAGGCCGAGGAGTATGAGCTGCGAGTTTCCTCCTCTGAAGTCAAGCTGCAAGAGTCCGAGTTTGTAATCAATGAACTTACTGCCAAAGTGGACTCCTTGATAGCAAGAATGTGGGGAGCAGGAAAGGCTGCAGTCAGAATGTCAAAGGGTGTAGTTGGCCATTCAAGACCAAATGGTCCCTGCTTTCGAGGAAGCCAAGAAGAAAGCTTTCAAAAAAGGTTGGGACGCCGCTCTTTATGCCTGCCACGTCGAGGTAGGCTCAGACTTGTTCGTCATGCACAGCCTTCGAAGGGAGGCCGATGATGAAGCCCTAAACGAACAATTCCGAGCCAACCCGGGTGACCAAGTTCAGGCGGAAGGGCTAGTCAGGGCCGAAGGTGGGAATGAACCCATCACACTTAGCGATAATTCTAACCAGCCTTCTCCTACCCTCCCGTCTTTGCCACCTGTCGAACCTATAGATGATCTTTCCCCTCCTCCGTCCCCAATCATTATTGGAGTGCATGACACCGAGCTAGATGAGATTTTGGGGGTTGATGAACTATAAAGGCGGCGTGGAGGCCTCGGTGGGGGAGAAACAGGGGAGATATAAGTCGAGGGTCATCAGCAGTCATTGATCTAGAAACTTCTATGTCCCGAGTTTGTTTTGCAACTTTGTACAGTTAACTTTTTGTATGCTTGGGGACGCAAAGCCCTTTTTTTTATTGTAATGAAATTTCATTTTTCCACAAGTGTTCTTTCTTTCTGCATCATGTTCGTTTCTATGGAATGACCTTGATGTTTATGTTGATAATGACCTTCTAGAGTAACAAGGCTTCATATCGAATCTATGAGATTCCCAGTAAACGCATTGAACTTGTTTCTGGGTCTCTGTACCCCTTGGGATCGAGTATACACATCTCTTAGGGTCGTGCCCTTACGACCGAGTGCATGGCTCGTTAATAATTTAAAGGCATTGCTCCTATGGTGGAGTCTTACATCCCTCGGGGTCGTACCCCTAACGACCGAGCCCGTGGCTCGTGTTAATAATTTAAGGCATTGCTCCAAAGGTGGAGTCTTACATCCCTCGGGGTTGTACCCCTAACGACCGAGCGCGTGACTCATGTTAATAAGTTGAAGGCATTGCTCCAAAGGAAGTCTTACATCCCTCGGGGTCGTACCCCTAACGACCGAGCGCGTGGCTCGTGTTAATAATTTTAAGGTATTGCTCCAAAGGTAGAGTTTTACATCCCTCGGGACCGTTTTTCTAATGACCGAGCGCGTGACTCATGTTAATAATTTGAAGGTATTGCTCCAAAGGTGGAGTCTTACATCCCTCGGGGTCATACCCCCAACGATCGAGCGTGTAGCTCGTGTTAATAATTTGAAGGCATTGCTCTAAAGGTGGAGTCTTACATCCCTCAGGGCCGTACCCCTAACGACTAAGTGCGTGACTCGTGTTAATGCAACCATAATGACAACTCTGGATTAGTAATAGTATTTTTTTTTAATTTGATACATTTCATGGCCGGATTACATCGTCATCATTCATATGTTGCAATCAATATGCGCATGTGCTCCCCACAGAGACCACCTTATAAGGGCCCTCCCAATTGGGACCCAGTTTCTCATCAGTAGGGTCACGAGTATTGCCCACCACTTTTCGCAGTACCAAATCTTTGACTTGAAAATCTCTCGTTCGAACCTTCTTTCGGTGTTGACGTGACAATTCTCCTTGGTACCTTGCCAGCTTGATGGATACCGATGACCTCCTTTCCTCGGCTAGATCAAGATCTCTAGCGAGCATTTGATCATTGTTTCCCAATTCGAAGACTCGGCTCCAT